CTTTCCTTTTTAAAACATTGATTTTTAGAAATTAAGATAATGATTTTAGAGAATATAACCTTTAACATGAGATATCTAAAAATATAAGGGTTATATTTCATACTGAAACTCGATAAATCTATTTTAATTGCAAGAAAAATGTGACTTTAATTTTGTGCGAAAATCCATGTAAGTTTAAAAAGTGCGTTGAGCTGTATATACACTGGATTGGTAAAATAACCAGGAGCAAAGAAGGAGATTTTCAAAGGATTACCGGTAATGCGCTTTCACTATGTAATTGGATCCCCCCTAACACCGAAACCCTTGACCTTGGGGCCATGAAATTCACGATATGGAAGAGGCATCCTTTCTAATCATAACTATGTACATAGTTAATTGGCTTTATACCCTGGAGCAGAGGGAAATATTTTCAAAGAATTAATGTATTTGCATTTCACTATATCATTAATAGAGCCCAGTCCTAACAACATAATCATTGAATCCTTGAACCAGGGGCCGTGAAATTCACAATTTTGGTAGAGGACTCGCACAAATACCAGGCCCAGGGCCACTTATGTCTTGAGTCGAACTCAAGAGCTGTACACTACTGGACCAAAAAAAATCTGAAAATCCCAAATTTGACTGATAATGTTTGATAACTACTGATACGGTGCTATTCTTGCTGATAAATACTGATATTTACTTTTATTATTACTCTTGTTGCTAATAAATCTGATAATTACTGTAGTTTTAACTGCTGAGTCTGATTAATACTGATAAATACTTTTGATGTGCTGTCGCTGAGATTTACTGATAAATACTGTGGCCACCTTTTTTAAAGCTGGAAAGTTGCTAAGATGAAATTAAGGGCTATAAAAAACTTCAATTATTACTTTCTTTTATTTAAATAATCATGACGACATTTCCATATTTCTTTTTAAATGTTCTACTAATGACAAAAACCAAACACTGATGTCATTAAATCTATTACTGTACGATACTGTTATGAAAATGTTGACAATAATTAAATGACATTTTCAGAGTATATTAGGCAAATGTTTTCTACAAATCTATGAGAAAAGTATGATTTATCTGTAAGCTAAGTGAATGGAATAATTATTGTATAATATTTTTACTAAAGATATAATTTATACTAGGGGTGGCAATCGATTGCAGAATTGCTAATCGGTTAATCGCAAAACGTTCCGACCGATTAACCGGTTAGTCGTATCAAGATAATCATACATTTTGACATTTTCTTCTCATACAGACAAAAATGCTTAAAAGTCGTTAGAAGTTAAATTCTGTTTATTATTTTGATCGTGGAATTTTATGTACATAAGAGTATATTTTATTTCAAATTCAATAGACAAGAAAAAAAAAACCATGAATATTGATTGAAAAATAAGACAGGTATAATTTATGCAGATGTTAAAGAAGTTAATTCTGCGTTGTCACCATAATCAGAACTAGTCCATATCTGAACTCTCACTTTATTTACAATTTACAACGTTCTTCATAATAAAATAATTTAAAAGATAACGGCAACGTATAGACGTACTTTAAATAAAAGTTCTTTACGGTGATATTTTTAACTTCATTAAAAAAACACAGGACTATCTGGGTAACGGCACGATGTTATAAAAACATGAATTAACACTTTACAAATTGAGCAATTACCATGCGATTTCAAACTGGAGAACTATAATTATCTACAAATATTCTTTATTATAAGATGTGTAAAAACACTAAATAAAAATCTATGTAGCGCTTTCCTTTCTGAAAAAAAGAAGGGATTTTAAGAAAACTACGCTCAAATTTACATTTTTTTAATATTTTTTCCGACTAACCGATTACAGATTTTGTAACCGATTGTCATCGTTCCAACCGATTAATCGATTAAACGGTTACATATTGCCATCCCTAATTTATACAAATTTCTGTAAATAAAAAGAACATAAGACTATCTTTCAAAACTTTAGCTTAATCATCGCCCTCTTCCGACTTCAAGAAAGGGTAGGGAGGTCAGTGATGTTTATTCTTCAGTTATAAGAAATAGTTCTTAGTTGGTGGAAAAAATAGGGATAAAATATGTATCTTGCAGGTTAGAAAAGCTTGATTCGCGCCATTTTCACTCGATCAGTTGGTCAAGAGATGACAAAATTCGCTTTTTAAAGATCACCTTTCATAGATCTAATTTTTTTTTCTTCAAATATATTTTTCCATTTTTTACGTGTTTAGCTTTGTGGTTTTTTATTGTCATTTTTTTTTTTGATTTTCCTCAAAAATGAAAAATTTTAAACTTAAAAAAAAAATAATTAAGTTATAGATAAAAAAAGGGGGGTTAATTATGTTCAATATGAAGACACAGCTTTCTATTCATTTATTTTGAATTTTCTTTATTTCTTTATCCATTTATCTACCCAGCACAGTTAAGGTTACAAAAAGAAGGCGGAGCCTAATTTGTACGGGAAAACTTGACTATGACATCATACACAATATACGTCATACAACATTTCTTTAAAATACCACAAAATGAGTTTATCTGCTAATTTAACTAGTAAGAAATCATCAAACTACATAAAAACTTACTACAGCGTGTTGTTTTGTCATTAGTTTAATCCCATGCACATAACAAGTTACAGTAAAACTCGGTTATAACGAAGTCACAGGGACCTATGAAATTACTTCGCTATAACCGTAATTCGTTATAACCGTATAAGAAAGTCATTAAATTTATACAGCTGGGGATTCAAGATGACTTCGTTATAACCGTAAATTCGCAATATCCGTGTTCGTACTAAACGAGTTTGCTGTATAAACAAGTCACTGATCGCAATACAATTGTCAATATGACGTCATTTCTTACAACGTGACGTAGTTTGTATGCAGTGAAAGACAGATCAAGTAATATTTTCTCAACAAAATATGTATTCTCTAATATTAAATAAAATATTATTTACAGATATTCTATAGACCAATAACTTGAATTTAATGTCTTTTTCACTATTTTATTAATATATTTTCTGTACATTACGTATTTAATTGACACTGCCGTATATTTGTATGCAACTTGTACATCTGAGGGTAATGTGAGGGGTCTTAATAAATCTATCTAGTGCAAGGGCATACACTCTAAGGATCAAAGTAAGCTTTTACATTTCAACGAAAGAACTATTAAGGTATACGAACCCTGGTTATGAGTATATAGACCCTGGCGATGGGTATATAGACCCTAGTGATGGGTATCTGAAAAGTGCTGCGATCCTTATGAAATCTTAAAAACAATTTAATTATATCAATATTTGATGCCGCTGACCAGCCAAAAATATAGCATTCGGTCATACAAGTATAATTTTAACAAGGAAATTGCAGATTTAGACAGGATAGCAGCACTTTTTAGAAACTACAATGCGTGTTGAAATATTTTATATACTAAACTTTGAAATTCAACTTGGTTATGGCCTTGCACTAGTGATATTATATGTAACATCAATACTTCAAGTCAATATGCTAAAATCGCGTGACTGCCGCATAACGTGACTAGTCTAAATATAAAATATAATCGTCCTCGATATGTAGCTATTAATCATAATTACAATTATCCGATATAAATTATGTACTAAAAATAATCGCCATCCCGATTACGAATACATTTTTTAATACAAATTTTAGTCAATATTTCCATTGCGCACCTTAACTGTATTGCGTATTTATTTATTTTTGCACGTACTGTAGGTTTCTGTGTCTTGTCTATTTCCCTTAACATCTAACACACTTTCAGAATGGGGAGTATCTAATGTTAAATAATATAAAAATATATTACCAATTATCTGAGAGAAATGATAATGAAATTTAAACATAATAACAACAACAAATACTCAGTTCAAAACAAGTTGTTTTTTTTTTAAATTATCTTATTCATAATTTTACTTACTATTTAAGAATCATTTTACTTAACTACATAATAAAAAAAAGATAAAGTTTCATTCCCACATGTGCACTTTCTATAACAACCACAAATAGATCTGCGGCCGATTATGACCCTAGCTAATTTTCCAAACTTAAGGGAAATTATTCGTCGTTGTAAAGCAAAAGTAAGTCGAGCCGGCGGACCGATATTCATTTGATGCTTCTCCAACATTATATAAGGAATGTTTTTAAGTTTCGTGAGTTACTGGTGTGTGAATCACACAGACTTGTCATGTAGGCTTATTTCATGAAGCGCGCTATCACTTCATGCAAAATACGCCTGAGTGCGAGACTGTGTGATTAACGCACCAATAAATCACACTAAACTTAAAAAAAAACTTTCTTATATTTACATTTTCTATGTCTTAAAGAATCAAAATTATACACGATATTTGAATTCCTCCCTCCCCGCTTTTGTTGCATTTTTAACGTCTCTTTAGCCTAAATGTAACATAAGTTTGCACAAAAATATAATTCAAACACTTTTGACTTATTAAAAAACACAGCAAATATAAATAGTTGTCAGTTGTCAGGTACTTCTTCAAATATTGAAAAAAAATCATCAATATCACAAAGCAAACCATTTCTCCTTATTTACAAAGAGGCTTGAAATTAAACTTGCAATTAAATTGTTATCCCCTAAAACCATTCCTTACCTCAGTTTTGCCCAGGTCACCAATAGTTTTCGCGGGATACATGTAACAATTTCACAAATCGACAATAAAAACAGCATATTATTATTTTCTTTTCTTTTGATTTTTTGGATTGAAGTTGTTAATCTTTTTTTAGTTGAATACCATTGGATGGTTTTTAGGCAAATATTCAACACGGAATTAAATCACAGAGGATCCTGGAATAATGCCAGAACAACGTACATTGTTTTCACTGTAAACAAAACAGCGAGGAAAATAATAAAGAACTCTAAAATAGACCATGCTGAGATTGTACTCGTAAACGAGCTGTCAGGTATATTTGACGCAGATATGGCAATGGAAGATATGCTGGTAGAAGTATACATGAACAATAGTCCGTGCAGAGATTGTGCTGAGCGTCTTTTGGAATTCCTTACATCACATCGACGAGCAAACATTACCATTCATTTTTCAAATCTTTATAAAATTTGGCGTAAATCTTGCATTATGGAAAGGTGTAAACACTGGCTGGCAGTAAAGCGAATTGATAGTAATGACAATGCGGATGGGTTAAGGATGCTCATGGACCATAGACGCTGCAATATACAACCATTCGACTGTAAAGCATGGCTAGATTTGATGGGTATTTTACATATTCAATCTCCAGAATTCGAGCAAATCTACATGTATCAGAATGATGGAAACGATAGAAGTCGGGAAAAGGAAGATACTCTTCTTCAAAAAGATCTAAATCTTATTACGGATCAGGAGATGTGTATGTGTATCTTTATATGTATATGAAGGTTATCAAAACTTTTGTGAATTATCACAAAAATCTTTATTTATTTATTCGTTCTTTTATATCTAAAGAGTAAAGTATAAGACACGTTTCATCTTTTAATAAATTGTTATTATGGTGAAAGCAGTTGGATGTACTAAAGTGTATCGTTTTTAGCATCATAGTCGTTGTTATATGAAAGCATATTTTAAATGTAATAAGTAATGCTAAAAAGGGAAACAGCGAGATGTGCCTGGGCCTCAATTATTAAAAAAAAGTTTTCACTCTGGGAAACGAAAAAGAATCATGTAATTTTTGGTCATGGCAGTGAAAAAAAAAGTTTGAGGATAATCGTTTTTTTTTTTTTTTGGCGCAAGATATACGAATAGAAGAGTAATACTTTTCAAACCGATTTGTGGTGAAGATTATTTATACAGAAAGTAAAAAAAATAGATAAAGCTGGGGAAGTTAAATCAATTTATTTCTTGTATAGATCCGCCTTTTTAGGACTGAATGTCAATTTTTTTTAGTTTCATGATGCGATCAATCGAGTGGATTGCGTGTTAATGCATAAGATTATTATGCAGGCCAATCGATTGATCATCGTTATGAAAAAAAATATATGAGTTATCCCTTATATTTACATGCTTTTAATTCCGCAAATTCGCGCGCTATAAGCCCCTCTTCTGTCTATTTTTCCATCCCCTCTCTTGATTTTTTTCAACAGTACATTTATGAACAAATAATCAACATTTACTATCTGTAACTTTATCTTGGACGAAGACATTGGAAAAGTAAATAATAACATGTTTAACAAATATAATAATTAAGCTATTCATATATTTTCTCAAATACATCATGAATAGTTTCTTCATACCGGTATTTAAAGTCCCGTTTTATGAGTCATAGGGGGCGGACATTGATCACGAGAAAACAAAGACATTGAAGATTTTGTAACTCTCAACGGAGACATCGCAGGGTTACAATACTACAGATTTTGTATTGTGTATTTAAAGGAAGATATAAATTGCAGAAGTTAAAACAATCGATGCTTTTAACAACGATAATGATTTTCCCACCATAAAAAAATGTTATTTATCAATGCAATGCAGTCCTGTTCTGGAAACATGACGCATGGATGTTTCAACTAACATCAGTATCGTATATTACAGGTATGGAAGAAGAGGTATTTTATCAATTATTCAGCCTCCAAGGAACAATGATTATTGTTTACATCGTCAATAATGAGAACAGAGCCCGTTTTTCGACAAGAGCTTTTCATGGCGAGACGAAAGATGAGGAAGAATTTCGTCGAGATCTTGAAAAAACTTACACCTTAAAAAAAGAGTCAGAAGAAATGCATGTTGATATCTACATGTTATTGAATGACAATCGTTGCCGGATGCTTACCAACTTTCTAAGGCAACATAGGAAAGCTTTCTTTCGAATTTATGCTACGGAACTTGGTCGGTTTCAAAAAACCAGTTTAAGGCAACTTATGGATCATGAGCGCTGCAAAGTAAATGCTCTCGAATTTCAAACATGGAGTTCGTTGATAAGCATTCTTGGTCCACCTATACCAGACTTTGAAGAAGAATATAAATCGAGACGTGAAAAGGAGGATATATACATCAAGAAAGAACTTACCGATATTTACAATCAGGATCAGTAGTACACAAAGTCTATAAATATCAAACTTAAAGAAACCTGTGTTTAAATTGATCGTGGACCTAAAAAGTGCAAGTCAACATTTGTTTACATCTTGTTGGATTGAGTACTTACGTTAAGTTATTATTAAGTTATTTTAAATACAAAATCTCTCATGAATTGCTAAGATATGATTTTTATACAACGTGTTCTGTGGGATTTATATTTATCCATGAGCATTAGCGAGAACTAGTTGGATAAAAATCATATCCAACACAAATCATACGATATTCTTTTTTGTTACGTTTTTCTGGATGAAATCCGTGCAAGCGCGAGGAATAGATTTTTACCACTACAGAATTAAGGACAGATGAAACAAACAATTTTTTTCTTTGAAAAAGATTTATATCATGTCACAAGTTTAGTGATGTGGATGGTTCTTAGAATTTTTTCTCCTAAGAACTGGAATATGAAAAAGACTTGGAAAATATTAGTAACATTTCAATGAAAAAACAAATATAGACAAAACACAATCAGTAAAGGTTTACAGGTGAAAACAAATTTCAGAATATGTTAACATGGTGATAAAAGTGTAATATAGACTTAAGAAAAATATACCAAGCCAGGTGAATTTTATTAGGAAAAGCAAAATGGTAAAAATCAGCCTTTTGATATTGCCAATTTTTCCTAATTTTGATCTTCCTCTTAAAATTTATCTGGCTTGGTATATTTTTCTTAAGTTTATATAACAATTTAATTCTTTATATTACTAGATGTTTCAAATGGCATGCCAAACGTTGAGATATTCGATCTTTGTATTGTATATCTTTCCATTTGAATTGTATATATTTTATTTGGATTGTATAATTTTGCATTTGTATTGTTTAATTTTTCACTTCCATTATTTTTTTGTTTCGAATTCTATAATTTTCCATTTGGATTGCAAACATTTATTTGTATTCTACATTTTCCATTTGTATTGTAAAACAACCATTTGTTTCGTATTTTTTTTTATTTGCATTCTATATTTTCCATTTGCATTGCATAATTGTTTATTTGTATTGTATAATTTCTTGTTTGTATGCGATATTTTTTCATTTGTCTTGTATCCGAGGATTGTTTAATTAAATCGCTACGAAGTATTTCATTGGTCAAGTTTTAGTCTGTAACGGACAAAGTTCATTTTTCAAATGCCTAACACAAACTTTGTCCGGTTCCCACAATTCCCGTTCGTTCTGTCTCTACTAACTCTACTCCACGGTTCCTCTATTCACGTGCATGCTAAGGGACGACCCTTTGATTTAGGGGGGGGGGCATTTGTCTAATGCGATTATTTATTTTCATTTTCTCGGAGGAGAAAATATTTATTTCAAATATGACCAGAGACAAGGAGAAAAAAGAATAGAAGAAAATCTGCCAAAACCCGAAAATTCATTTTCTTTGGGGTGGGATGGAGGGTAAATCACTACCTAGGGTTAAATTATTTTTTATTTTTCTCAATCAACATTTCTAAGGACAAATTATTTGTTTGCCATCTGGCAGCGCTCCCTTTCAAGAATAAAATGGCCGTCCTCTAACATGCAGGCAGATACAAAACAATGTAATCCTTCGTACCGAAAGAAATATACAATTCTTGGATATGTAGAAAGCAATATAAAACAATATCTTTTTTCGTAATAGTCCTGTCAATAATTTTTCTCAGAGAGATCTGATGAAGATGACATCATGACGGCAGGGTTCTCCTTGGGCGATTAAAGTGGCCCGCCACAGTTAAATTCTGTAGCGCCACAATTAAAATATCGGCGCCACAGTTAAAATATTAGCGCCAAAGTACTGTAAGACTTTCCTCGTCAGTAAGATAAAAATATATAAATCTATAAATCAAATGAACCTCTTAATTATGTACCGTTTTCAGTTTCTTTTGCTTAGCTGTTAATTTACTCTAATTATTGCCCATTGTTTGGTTTGGACAATCAATTACCCCGGTACTAGTATCTTTTAGACTTCACTGGAGACATGAATGAAGAGAAACAAGTCATTTTTATACACTTCACGATAATCACAAATGATTTTTTTATATCAATTAATTAATGCTTTAATATACAGAAGTTCTAAAAATGCTAAAGATAACCGCGTCTCTAAAATTACATTGACACTGCGAGTCAAGTACATCGTACATGTATCGTAAATCTTTGTATTTTTGTAAAGTTGAAAAATTAGCAATACATCCAAAAAATGTTATTTTATTCCTTTAAACTGCTTATGAAAAGTGTTTTAGAATACAAATTTAAAGATGTTTTGGTCTTCAGACCAATAATTGCAAATGTAAAGAACTTATGTTCACGTCAGAGTGTGACCTACCTACCTTCCTCTGTCCTCTGTGCAGTTAAATGCTTAAAACGTGAAACTACTAGTACTGTTAATTTTAGATTCTATAAGCAAATATTTTCCAAATACTAGTAATATATGTCATTTATTTAATACTACTGAATCACTGGGTATGTGGTTCCTTCGAGAATTCAATCACGAAGTAACTGCGAATATTGCACTTCGCGTTAGTCTTGCGCCCCAGTTAAATTTGAAATGATGGAGAATCCTGATGACGCCTCATAACAGCATCTAAGCCAAAAAGAATTCGGCAAGGTTTGTATCTAGATAATTGTGTTTAAAAAGCATATACTACATACATTGTATGTGATTTATTACAGACCAGGATTTCTACTAATTTTCTTGTCCACACAGGGGGAATAAGGAAGCATACAAAATATTCTACCTCGACTGAATCAGTGCTACATTATGACGTCACAGTAGGCGAGATGACGTCAATTTTAAAACACAAGTTTTCGTAATATTGATAGTTTTTTAGAGTACATTTTTAGAGCTGTAATTTAACTCTAGAAAATGAATAGAAACGTGTAAACATAAGCAAAAATAAAATGCTCTTATTTTGTAATGCTGGATTCTGTCATTTTGATTAAAATCTACCACCGATGACGTCATATGTGTACATCAAGTAACTTGGGTTGATCATGCTGTGTAAAGAGAATTTAGCTAATACGGCATGTACAAAGACACGTAAAATGGAGTTTAACAGCAAATATTGTTAATATCTTGTGATATGCATATAGAGTTCAGTTTAGAAAACAGGTATGCTAATTTATTTTCATCGATTTTATTCTCTTTCGAAGACAGTGAGCTGTATACATATCACGGTCGGCCTTTCGTCTGTCATTTGTGACAAAATTAATGCAACAGAACAACAATAAGTTGAATATTTCAAAACATAAAATTTGTACGTATGGAAAGTTTGCCTCCTAAAATAGTTGGAAAGTGCTGCTAGAATCCCGAGTTAAGCATGGTTTTATGAAAAATCAGGGTTCATATGTAAAACATTCAAAATATTGGGTAAGGTTTCCTGCGAATGTTTGGAATTATTATTTCACTAACGGGACAATTGGATTCTAGCAGCACTTTTTAGGCAAAATGCATGTTTTTCAACAACATTATTTACTCAAAGAAATTATCAAACTCCGGGGTATTGTTGTTCTATTAGCTTTTTTTATTAAGGAAAATTTCGCTATTAATAGAAGTCACGTGATGCCGTGGTGGTGGTGCACGTCATTGCTTTAGACACTCTTTTATCTTTATGCATCAGGTAATAATAGTTTACGTTTATCAGCGGTTTTGGTAAATTATCAAACTTAATTTTCTTTAAAAAGTCTTAATTTCCCGAAAATTGACTTATATGCTTCCTTAACATACCCGCGCACATCATAAAGTGCAATTTAAGCAATTAACATCAAACAACCATTATTCAGTGAACTTGGCGTTATGAATAGCAATTGCTATACTGGCATATTTTTCATGAAGCACTAGCCACTGTGATGTGTAAAACAATTAATAAATTTGGAGTTCCGACAAACGATCTCAGATTTTCATTACGTGAAACAAAGTTGCACTTCATGACCTGATTTACTGCCAGTGGAAGAGAATCTGTTTAAAAAAATGTGTACTTGGGGTAAATAAAACATTTTAATTGGTTATAAACAAATGGACAGAAGACGCTTATAAAACATCTTCCTCTTGATGTCTTGACGTCTCCATATCAGGGAAATATTCTGGAGAGGGACGTTAAACAGTATACAATCAATCAATCAATCGAGATGTGCCTCTAGCAAAAATTTTATTGCTAATGCTGTAATACAAATATACTATGAATTTGAAAAGATTTACCTTGAAGTGGGTACCCTCTTTGTTTATAAGGTTTCACATCTAACCTTAAGTATTTCAATATACAATAGAGGGCCAATCATTAAAAAATAGCAAAAAAATGTCATGAGAAATCGGAATAAAGGTTGGAAAGGCTATGAATTCATTTATTTGAATATCTAGTACTTTATATACCTAAATGTCTATCGGTCAATTTTACTGTAGATTTTATACAATACAGTCTACAGCGTACTATTTTTAACTTGACGTCAAACACTAATGTTTCTAAATACTAAAATAACGTCATTTTCTGTGTAATACGTCATCAGATTCAGAGTGTGGTGATATAGGTTCAGAAAACCACAATGAGGTGATCCTGAAAGTCGGATAACGCCGTCACGTGATTGAGTAAAATCTGTAGGGAAAAAATGAATGATACACAGATAGGTATATAATAAAAAGTTCGAAAGGAGGGATGAGGTATATCCATTGGTAAGGTTCCTGATAAGAAACATTAGTGTTTGACGTCAAGTTAAAATGAGTACATTGGAGACTGAATGTTCAAAGTTTTCATGTAAGTTGAGATCATTCACCCTGTTCTACATGTATTAACAGTGAATTTAGAAATCTGAAATTGTAAACGAATCACAACTTAAGGGGGATATCCGGACACCTTTAGTGCAATGAGAACAATCCGGACACCTTTAGTGCAATGAGAACAAAGTGTAAACATTTCTTCAAATGGCTAAAATACATTATATTTTGATCAAATTTTAAGTCCTTATGATAAAGATACAATAAATATGAATAACTGAATGCATGTTGTGCATATATAATCTATACTTTTGCAGAAAAATGCTTTTGATGTGCTCATTGGAACTGCACAGCTACAGAATTCAGCAGAGCCTTAAAAAATCCAAAAAAATAATATGCAAATTGTGCATTAATGTTCTCTCTACAATCATTTGTTGAGAAAATGTCTAAATTTTGCACTTTTAAATG